CAATAACCTAGCCACGATAGGCTCATCGAAGAGCTTCTCCCTGAATCAGAATGCGACAAGGGGTGATCTCGGCTCAGGGCTCGAAGTCATCCGCGGCTTCTTCTCCAGCGTGCGCATTGCAACTTGCCGCATCTTGGTCAATATCAACGTCAGTCATGGAGCCTTCTACCACTCTGGTCCTCTTCCGGGCCTCATGCACAGCTACGGTACACGAAACACCATTGCTTTGGAAAAGTTTCTCAAGCTGGTCCGCGTCCAAACCACGCATTTGGCTGAGAAGCGGAACAAAGCCAAGCAGGTCATTCCTCGCATCAAGACCATCTTTGGTCTAGCCAGGAAGGATGACGGGCATAAGCTGGCGAACAGGCCACGCATCAAGGGCCACGGTGCAGGCGCCAAGGATGTTGAGTTCTGGCTCGATGCTGACGCAGGCTCATCCGGCGCACCCAAGGCGGAGGCGGGTGCTGCAAAGGGCAAGGGCAAAGGAAAGCCCCAGCCCAAGGGCCCAGCGCCTGCTGGATCGGGAAAATACATTACTGTATTCGATTTCTTCAAGACGAGTATGTCACCCTCTCCCTCCATGGTATCCCGGTACTAACGTTATGTAGCATACAATCGTATCCTCCAGCACCCCGAGCTGCCCGTCGTCAACTGCGGCAACCGAGAAAACCCCATGTACCTTCCTGCGGAGGTCTGCGTCGTCGTTCCGGGCCAGCCATCCAAAGCCAAGCTTGATGGTGGCCAAACACAGACTATGATTCAGTACGCTGTACGCAAGCCGTGGGAGAACGCGAGGTCCATCCTCAATGAGGGTGTATCGACCGTCGGTCTGGACGAGGACACCAATGTTCTGCTGGTAAGTTCCCACTTGCGCTGTGAAGTCCTTTCGCTGACAATTACAAGCGCTCTTTTGGTCTTACCATCACACCGGGTCTGATTAAAGTACCTGGTCGAGTTCTCACCTGCCCAAGGGTCATCTACAAAGGTGACAAGACTGCTCCTGTCGACCAGAAATTTGGCCGTTGGAATATGATGAACATCAAGTTCAATACTGGCGCGTCCCTACCGAAATGGTCCACAGTCATGATATCTATGCCAGGTAAACGCGACTCTTTCGATGGCCAAGCTCTCGGTGCTGTGATGCAGGAGTTCTACCAAGGCTTGCTCAAGATTGGTGTCAACGCCCAGCCACCCCTTCCCCCACAACGTCTTCAACTACAGCATCCAGACGATCCCACCCTCGGCCCGTATCTACAGAGAGCGGCTGGTGCTTTGAACCTCCTATTCATTGTGCTACCAGAGGCAAACATCCCCCTATACAAGCGCATCAAGACACTCGCCGATAGAGACTATGGCCTTCACACGATCTGTTCTGTTGGCTCCAAGCTCTGGAAGGAGCGCGGCCGAGATCAGTACATTGCGAACATCGCACTGAAGTTCAATTTGAAGCTCGGTGGCATCAACCAGATCGTCGAAAACAAGAGCCTTGGCATCATCGATCAGAACAAGACGATGGTGGTCGGTATCGATGTGACCCACCCTTCTCCAGGCTCGGCTTCTAACGCTCCTTCTGTATCGGCGATGGTCGCTTCCGTCGACAAATTCCTTGGACAATGGCCTGCGACGTTGCGCATCCAGCGCGGAAGGCAGGAAAACGTCGATGATCTCTCCGAAATGTTGAAGTCGCGTCTCAACCTCTGGAAGACCAAGGGCAAGCACCCTGCATTCCCCGAGAACATTCTCATCTACCGCGACGGAGTATCAGAGGGACAATACGACATGGTGCTGTCACAGGAGCTTCCCCAGCTGCGAAAGGCATGCGAGGCACTGTACCCCGCGCCTGATACCAAGAAGGGTCTTCCACGCTTCACGGTTGTCATCTGTGGTAAGCGACACAAGACACGCTTCTACCCAACATCGGACAAAGACTGCGATGGTGTTGGGGAAAAGAGCTCTGGCAACACGAAGCCTGGTACCGTTGTCGATCGGGGGGTGACAGAGGCCCGCAACTGGGACTTCTTTCTTCAAGCACATGCCGCACTCCAAGGAACAGCGCGTCCTTGCCACTACTATATCGTTCACGACGAGATCTTCCGCCAGATCTACGCGAAAGTGGTCCCGCCACAGTTTGGCAACATCGCTGATATCGTGGAAGATCTCACCCACAACATGTGTTATCTGTTCGGTCGTGCGACGAAGGCTGTCAGTCTGTGCCCACCAGCATACTACGCCGATCTGGCCTGTGAGCGGGCTCGTTGCTACTTGGCGAACCTGTTCGACACACCGACGCCGAGCGCCGGGAACTCCGTCGCTGACTCTTCGGCAGCTGGGGGTGCGTCGCTGGACCCGAGCGCGTCGGATGTACAGATCCATCCCAGGCTCAAGGACACCATGTTCTACATCTAGGCAATGGCGTCATGGCTAGTCACTTACATACTATGTTGACAGAACACACCCAGCGTTGAATGGCAATTCATAGCTACAACAACCATCGATACGGCAACACATCCTTGGTCCAAGATCATACTGTTCATTATTGCTAGATAAAAAGCTGCATAACAGCCAAATACACTCATTTATCAGCCCCAACCCCCATCCTTTCTCAAACCACACACTCCTGTCACTAATGACGTCGGCGCATACCCCCATACTTCTAACCGGCACATAAATCCAAGCCGCCGTCTGATACGTCGCCTAGTCCGCCGCTCTCAACCTCATGCTATATTGATGACCCATTGCCGCCGACGATCTGCCACTATACGTAAATCGGAATCCAGACCACTTGCTCTGAAATTGCTGAGACTGGCCCGCACGGAGACCTGCATGCTTTTCGCACTCGTTCTCGTGACATTGGTTCGTAGCGACTCGTTCTCGTGATATTGGTTCGTAGCGAATCGTTCTCGCGATGCCGTCCGAGGTGGTCTATGGCTTCTGCAGTCGTGTGAACATGGTTCATGTTATTCGCCAGTAGCCATATTCGTACCCCCACGAACCATTCGATGCAGCGCAATCGTGGTTTATATACTTCTCGCATGCCCGACCCATGGCGACATTATGCAGGGTGCAGATCTACCGGCGCGCTCTGCTGACACCCCAGCCCTATCTCTACCAGTGCGTGCAGCTCCTCCGGCAAACTATTCCGTATAGCATTATGCCACTGCTGTGGCGTAAAAAGCTTCTCGCCTCGCCTCGCCCGCCAATAATTCGTCGTTTCGTACACTTCCGGACATCCACTTAGCAGCCAGCCCCACTTCTCCAGGAACACCGGATCGATTTCCCAACTGCGATGGTCTTCTGGCGGCCCCCAAACTATCAGTATGGGATTACGGTCCAGATGGTTGTACTCGCAGATATCATGGCATAGCGCATCTTCGTAGTCGATAGGCTCCGTGCGTTGGAAAGCTTGTAGCATGTTGTCTCGCACCTTAGGCCACGGGAAGAGATCCAGCCATGGATGATGCTCTACTGAGCTTTGTAGTTCGGTGGGTTGGAGACATGCTGGCCATTCTGCCCCTGCGTCGGAACCTAGGAGCGGGCCCTGTTTGTTGAGTGGCGAGATGCCATACCAATCGTAGTATTGTGCAGTGACACCCAGGATATCAGCGTTTCTTGCGAGACCACTGGCGACGTTGTATTTGAGTAGCAGCGGCAAGTGGGACAGGGCGGGTGTGCCTTGCATGTAGCTGGCGTATGCGTGTTCGGAAAAGCGGCGCATGAGCTCCTGCACCTTGGGGTGGGCGGCCATGCATGACCTTTGCGCTATGGCGGCATCGGGTTCGCTAAGGTCGTTCAGAGATAGGTCGGATGTGCTGCAACTGCCTTCACGACCCGACGCGTCGCTCTCGTTGGCCTCGTCTGGTATGACAACACGGCGCGGCTGTTTGGCTGGAGCACTTTTCTTTTGTGCACGGTTCCCTGGTAACATGTCAGAACTGGTTTTCTTCCTTTTGGCGGTCGATCTGCAGGACAACTTACTCCGTGCTCTCTGGTTCAAGCGATTCTGTAGTTTTCGCCTCTCAACTGGATTGGTCACACCCATCCAATCCTCCGTCTCATCGCGGAGCTCGGGTCGCTGAGACGACCAGGCTAACTCGATAGGAGCATCTGCATAGTCAAACCCAGATGGCATCGGAGTTGCTGACATGTGGGCAGGTGGAAATTGTGTATGGGAATGTCATCCTCCGAGCGGGTGCGAGCATATATGCAGATCGATGACAGCTCGCGAATCGGACCTATGTATTCGAGCCCCGCTTCGAGAAGCAGCATAGCCCCAACACTGTTGAAGGTGTTAAGGAAGTAGTGAGGCTCACTCTGGCGCGATTCTGTTTTGAGAGTGTCAGCAGCGTGCATAAAGTCCGCGTTAGCTCCCTTTAGCGCCTGGGCTGATGCACAAGTGCCATCAAGACAGCGGCCGGGTCCACTTCCCCGTCGCACTCGCTCTCGCGGTCGGAGTTTGATAGATCGGACGTAAGAAAGGTGCCATGTCTTAGTTGTAAAGCATAATGAGAATACACCAGGCGTACGAAGTTGTTGATGAAATTTTGGGTGCAAGCATGTGGACTTCGCGATGACTTCACAGATCGTTCATTGGGACTGGTGAGACCTCGGCTTGCAAAACGCTCTGGCTACTGCCACTGAGAATCGTGATCTTCTCGTCACTCCCGCTTCCCAAGCGGGATGACAAAGGTATTGCGCACGCTTCGTGGCGGAGTTAACATCATACGTAGTATCGTGCATCGGATCCGCAGCTCTTGTAGCGTTGAATTGTTTCAGCTAAGACTAGCCGCTTTTCTCATTCATTGTATTTATTGCTTCGTCATCGACAGATCAGTAATGATCTTCGATCGACTGCACGTGGCTTTTTGATCGCTTCATAAGCTGTAGTGAGTACCGCATCTTTTGCGAACCGATGTCTCCGGGCTTATCCCATGGTCTTCCTATTGGGTCTGCGGTGGCTACTCCGCTCAGAGCCGCACAGATCTCGCTCAATTGATCGTGCTTCATTTACCGGCAGCAGGAACGCGGTCCAGTGGGATAGTCTCCATATCCCGGATCAGGACAGCGGGCCTGTCATATTCGAAAACGATCTCCAGCGCAGGCCTGCACTTTGTGAGGAACTCAAGGAACTCGCGACGGAACGCTTCATGGTAGACGCCACGGAACTCGAGGTACCGCAACTTCGGGACGAAAGTCTTATCTGTCAACCAGTCGAGTGTGCTATTGAGACGGATGCGCTTTGACTTTTGGCCTTGGACGACGGTGAGAGTGACGGATTCGATATTTGCGCAGTTCTTGAGGATAGTTGGGAATGCGGTACGCGTGAGCTTCGATGTACCGTGAAGAGCGATAATCTCTAGTTGAGGCAAAGCTTTGGTCAACTTCTCTACACCGGCGCTGGTAAGTTCAATGGCCTCCTTCCTCTCGACGTCTCCGGCGATGAAGACGCGGACTGCGCTTCGGAAAGTAGCATCTGCATTGGCAATGACGTCGACGATGGTGCTGAATACTATCAGCATAAATTAACACGAATCTGGACAAAGTTGAACATACTCGTCCACATTGATGCCAGAAGCAAAGACGATCTTTTGAACGGGTTTCGCAGTGCTATCAAACTTGGTTGATGCATCTACGTGCATAGTCTGCTCATCTGGGACGGCAGCGGGCTGGTACTCGATAGCCTTCCCCTTCCTCGCCTTTGCACGCTTCTCAAAAGCATCCCACGAAGCGTCGCTCGGGGGCTGAGCCATCAGACGCGCATCCCACTTCTCCTTTGGCTCGTCCCAGGGTCCGTAGGCTTGGGTAGCGGGAATCTCATCGTCCGGGCTGGTGTCCGACCCCGCTTGGCGCTCCTCAATGACCTTGAGCCTTTGGACTTCTCTCTCCTTCTCCTTCTGCTTCTTCTTCTTGGCGGATCCTGAAAGTGGCGCCATGATGTCGTTTCTAGGTTTTTGACGTTGGGAGATCTGAAGAAGCCAGGTGTCGAGCCATCAAAAGAAGAGTTCATCGGAAGGCGGGGGTTCCCCACTATCATCTCACACCTTGCCGCTTTAAGCCTAGTGGCTTTGCTACCCTCTCGTAACGTCACTCTTGCGTCTCTTTGAGTCTCGTCTGGGACACGATGAAAGGCTATCGCGCTGGCATCAATATCTTGACTCATGCCTGCGATAAGAATCTGACTCCTCAGACATGTCCGACTCTGTCGCAATGTCGAAAGACCAGGAGCGCGCATACTCGGAACAAAGTTCCCGGACTTGAGATCGAATGACAGCGAGCCCGGAGTAGAGTCGCCCGGGGTTCATGTAGAAGACCGCTCCATCTGGAAGAGAAGACGCAGAATGCGAGCAACACGACATACGAGCTGCCTTATACTACCTAGCGCTCAGCATTCTGGTTGCCTGGATGGTCAGCCTAGGTGACTCATCCGAGTCCAGGCCGGTGTTAGCATTCCGTCGACGCATCGAAGAAATGCTTATAATAAAGCTTGGGAGCGTAGATGCTTGAATACAACTACCAAACGTCGATTTGCCAGCTCTTAGCCTCAAGATGTCACCCTACGACTTCCACATCTCGACTCCACGTCTCTACCTCTCTTATCTCGATCCCTCCTCTGACGAACAGTGCGACTTTACCCTTGCACTCTATCACGGCGCTCCATCTGTTCGACGGTACCCTGGCGTGATCAAAGACGTACCAGATCTGGAAGCAGTACGAAAGATCGCCGCTTCTGGAGATGAGAAGCTTCGTGCGAGTGGATATGGGCGGTACATCATCAGCTTGAAACCAGAATCGCCTGCAGGTGACGAGGAGACCGGAGTTCCATTTTCACAGAGGAAATTAGAGCGCATTGGGATTGTGAGCATGCAACTAGGACGTGTTGCAGGCGAGCAAGCACCCACCATGCCGGATGTCGGCTTCAACATGATGGAGCGGTATCATGGGAAGGGTAAGTCCTAGCTGTACGAAATGCATGTGAGACATATACTGACTTCGTACCTCTATCTCTGCAGGATATGCGACGGAAGCTGCCCAGGGCTTGATCAAGTACTTTCGCGAGGAGAAAGGTGCGAAGGAGATTGCGGGCTTGACCGACGATACGAATGAAGAGGCGAAGAGGCTCTTCCGCAGACTTGGATTCCAAAACCATGGGGTCAGGAAGGTACGTGGTATTCGGTGGGGTGGTGAAGTAATCGACGTGGATCTCTGGACCTTGGGACTAGAGGATGGGAAGAAACTGGAAGACTTCGGGTTTTGATCCTACGCGGCTGCTGTTCACCTTGTTCAGGCTTTCAAGTATGTTCTAGTGTGTAGGTGGTGTCACTGACTGGGCGTTTATCCTGCGTTTGCATGTAATGGGCTATGATATCTAGATAATGCTACCTATTTCCCTCTGTATCTCAACATGTAATTCCGCTCGAGTACTCTAGTTACTGATGTCATGAGCCTGGCTGGAAGACCGAGGAGACACTCTAGCCTCAGGCATAGCTTTAGCCTCGCCACCGTGCGACAAGCTCTCAGCCTCACTGTCAACCTCGATTCCATCCAGATACCCAAACCCCGTAACGATGCGCGGAATGAGGGTTTCTTGAGCAGGAAAGAACAGATTGCAGAAGTAGTACAAGAAGATGGACAGGAAAAACCCATAAAGCCAGTTAAACGTGAAGAGGTTCTGGAGACCGGCCGAGAGCTTCAACTCCGGATTGACTTTGTTGGCCAGGCCTGGCAACAGAGGGATGATGGTAACGAACGTTGCGACAACAGCTCGCCAGTTTGTACCGTAGCGACCGTATCGGTAGATGCCTCTTGGGTCGTACAAAGCGGGGACGTCGTACTTCCTGTGCTTCACCAGCCAGTAGTCCGTGAAGAGGATGCCTGCCATGGGCGCCATGAAGATGGCATATGCGCTCATGAAGTTGAGGAACGCCTTGCCAGACGCCACGATGATCCAAGGACATAGCGCCCAGCCGCCGATAAATGCGACGAGAATGGATCCGCGACGTACGTTGACGTACTTTGGCGCTAGCGTCGTGACGTCATTGGCAAAAGAGACGGCATTCGCACTAATGTTGACGCTAAGCTGCCCAAGCAACCAGATGGAAGCACAGAAGAAGGCTGCTGCCCGGCCACCAGGCGTATCCCAGGTATCGATGATCTGTAGTGGCGTCCAATAGGCTGTGCCCCAGATCTCTTGGGCTGCGGATGCAGAAACGATCCCCATAAGAGCGACCATAGTCTTGAAGAAAGGGATTACCGGCATCTGCCAGTATTGCGCTGTAGGATCCTTACTGAAGCGGGAGAAGTCGGGAATATTGACAGCGAGGGTGCTGTATCCACCAGTAATGCTAGTCATGCTTGATAACCAGAGCCAGGCCCTTTCAGCGCCATGCACCGAGGCCGGACGTGTAAAGAAAGTGCCATTACCGCCTGCTTTGACAGCGACCCAAACTGTCATTCCGATGGCGACGGGTGGTAGCAAGATTGTCTTCACCCAGAACATGTACTGTAGTCTGTGCGTCGGGATGAGAAGGAACGGGAATTGGATGAGCCAATACAGGAAGTATGAGATCATCCCGGCTGTTGTAAGACCGACCGATGCGGGTAGATGATTGGGAATATCGCGAAAGCTTGGCCAGATAGCGTTCAAAATCTAGGAAGCGATGTCAGGAGACGCATCCATCAGGTCATTTTTATTATAACGTACCGCAGTCACACATGTACCTCCGTTGGCTGTTTGAACCCCGAACCAAAACATAGCCAAGACACCTCTGCTCACAATGGCAAAGTAGCTAAACCAGTAACCAAAGCTGGCGCGAGACGCGATGGGGAACGGAATATGTAGGTTCGAGCCGATAGCGCCGTTGAGTACCGTGGGTAAAGCGTTGCATATACCCGCCACGAGCGTTATGAGCACGGCATCGGTTGCCGTCAGACCTATTCCAATCAATCTCATGTCCTCAAGACGACTTCGACGATCGAACACTTACCAAGTGTGAAAATGGCAGACCCTGAACTCCAAGTCGATATGGTAACAAGGTCACTGAACCAGTACGTTACGAACGCGCTCTTGCCCCAAGTCCGCTTTTCCGGTGGTACTGGCTCCATATCGGCATTGGTCCATACATCGGGCGGTGCGATGCTGCTGTTTTGCTTAGGAAGTTGCCAGCTCGATGGCTGCGTTGTGCGAAGCTTCATCTTCTCTTTTGCCGCGTGGCTGCGACTGCGTATGCTGCCTGTAAAGTGCATTGTGAGGGGCTTCTGTTGTGTTATGCGCCCATGTGATTCTAGCAGTCTTCTTCTGAGCTCATCAAAAGTCGTTTAGCGATGAATATCTCCAGCCGTTCGAGTAAAGCGATGACGGATAGATAGGTGATCGACGATGTACTTCGAAGTTGCGTCCGAGTCCGATCTTCCACAAAAATAGCAAGCTATCCTCATCTTATGAAGTCAGGATATATGTGCTGCGTCTCGCGGCAGGTGTCAAAGATAGACAGCTGCGCTTACGTCGCACCGCGCTGAGCAAAAGATGGGGTAGTCTGGGCTGATCTTATCATTCATCGTGACGTGATTGGGCCATACCTCGTCGCTATCATAGATAAGTATGTGTTCCTTGCCCATATCGCTATCGTGTTGCTGCATTTGATGGGAGGTGTTCATGCTGCAATGAGACGCGTTGGGATGATATGCAAGCGTGCGCCACCTGAATGGGGAGGATGAGAGCCGAATGTCGGCCGGCGCTAGTGCCGACGCTTATCAGTTCGCTCCAGGGCTATCTCCAAGCGACCATCCCGCAACCTCCGTGTTTATCACTGGAAACTTCATCCTTCTCGACTATGGCGCCGGATTGTCCGCTTAATCTCAACTTGGCATGGCATCTCATCCGCGAAGCAGGTTGACGTGCGCAGCTTGTGCGAAGCGGAAAGTCAAGTGCAGTAAGACGGTACCCTGCGACAACTGCATCAGACGAGGTCAAAAAGATACGTGCGGTATCGACGATTTGCATGGCGATGTAAGCTCTCCAACGCGTCCTTCCGACCAAAGATCATGTGAGCTCGACTATTTGCGACAGCGGGTCGCACAGCTCGAAAGCGAAACATGCCAGCGAAGCCCGACGAACATTGCGACTCCGCCCGGAACTCTGCAACCTGAAACACCAAACGATAGGCTTCCCGATGAGTCCGCAGATGAGCCCGACGACGCTGCTGTTTCTCGAGATACCGCGACGGTACTGGAGTTCCTCGCTTGGGGAAGAAGGAAAGAGCCTCACTGTCACACAGTCGCGTCCCTCGAACCCGCGGATGATGTTCCGATTGAAGTTGGTTCATCCATATTTGATGACTTGTCCCAGCTTTCGGTGCTTCAACTACTTCTTCCAAGCCCTCACCAAGTTCGACAGTTGGTAGAATACCACCACGAAAGCCTGTTGTGGTACCATGGCAGCTACTTCGTTCCTACTTTCCAGGCGCAACTCCGAGATTTCTACGATAGAGATAATGGGCTAATCGAACAATCATCTACGGATCTCCAATGGGTAGCTTTATTGTTCGCTATTCTGGCCGCTAGTCTTGTGTGCGCAACCGATTTGCGAGCGCAATCATGGGGATTTGACAAGGCCGAGCAAAAGAAGCTCTCGCGACGATGGTATCAAGCTATCTTCACTTGCCTCAACCAGGCAGACTATACGAGTAACCTGAGCATCCTTTCTTGCCAAGCTATAGCCACGGCAACTGTTTCAGCTCACCTCCTAGGGTTCAGTACAAAGCAAAGCATCCATCTCGCAACCGCTGTTCGCATTGCTCAATCTTTGGGCATCCATCGCTTAGGGCCAGACGCCAGTGGAGGTGTCGTAGCAAATGAGACTGGCCGTAGAGTCTGGTGTCAACTTTGCAGCCAGGACTGGTTCAGCATACCGTTCTCGGAGAGTTACCTGGTCATTCCAAGATACTCGATATCAACCCCACCGCTGAACAGCCACGACAAACATTTGGCCGCTGTTGACGCGGACGTTCCTACTACTACGAGCTATTCTTTATTCTTGCGCAACATCGCGATAATCATGCCCCAGCTTCAAGACGGCCTCGTATCAAGCAATACACCTTACACACGTTACGAAACGGTCTTGCATTGGGATGCACGACTTCGAGAACTGGCCACTCGTGGAAGGCCAGTTTTCATGACGAACGCACCGTTGGATCCGAGCTGGCCCAGATGGGTACCATGGGCGCGGCGCGCTCTAGCCATTACGTCGAGTCACAAGATCATCATGATTCATCGTTCCTTTCTACTGGACAGTTTCGTCAATCCTGCTTTCGCGTTCACCCGCCGAACATGTCTCGCAGCCTCCAAAACGATCGTCAAGGAGTACAAGGCCTTGGTCGGGGAAGATGGCCCCACCTTGTGGATCCATCAAGCATTTGCCGTCGCAGCATCCATCACCCTCTTGTTGGATGTACTACATCGCGAGATCAACGAGAATGAGTGTTCTGAGCATCGTGCACTTGTTGAAGAAGTCTTGGAGATCCTGCAGCGGCGCCCAGAGAGTATGATTGCGGTGAGAGGCGTCAGACTTCTCAAAGCTTTGCTTGCTCAGGCGTCGCACGAGACCTTGTCCCAAAGAAGAAGAAAGCGTAATCGTGACGGTACACCCGCTTCCAAATTCGACGTCTCGACCCTCGTTAGGAACTTCTATCAGACCAACAATGGCGACAGCCACCCTTCGCTACGTCCTGCAGCCACATCAGGATCTACTACCGACCAACCTCCTACATATGACTCGGAAGAGAGCAATCCCCTCGCCACCACGTTTGAACAGCCGCAATCTGCATTTTCTTTCTCGGCCTCAGGCTTCGTAGGTACCAATAGTTTTGATGATCTTCTGTACCTAGCGAATTACGATTTCGCGTTGGCGTAATTTCTCGTAGCTATCCCTTCCACCTGGTAGTATCCAGCGCAACGAAGCTCGATACAAGATGAAAATCGCATTTCACATCACTGGCGCGGTCGATTCGTACGTTTGCTGAGTCAATATGATTCATTCGATGATGGCTTCCATCAGTTGCTGCACCGCTTTCTCAACCCCCGGGAGATCCTCCAATATCGGCTGATGACCACTTTTCACAACATGCACCCAGCTTCTTCCTCCAACTAATGTACTGAGATCTTGCGACCGCTGCACTGGGCTGATCATATCCTTATCTCCTGCCACGAAAACTACAGGACATGTGATGTCCTGGTATTGCGGATCTTTGTGGCTACTATCCACGATAGCTTCACATGTTTGCGCATAGGCCTCGGGGTCTGCAGAGCTCACATCCAGCCTCACGGCTTCTCGAGATGCTGGGTCTACCTTCCGGTTTTGGCTGCGGATTCACTGTTAGCACGGTCTCGACATTCTTCTGGGCTCATCATGTGCGTACCTATCGCCGTAGAAGTTAGACTTGGCCGCTAGATCCGCTGCATGCTTGATGCCTTCTTTCCTCACCGCGGCCGCAAGATCGAGCATGCGCTGTCGAACAGCGGTGATGTGACCGGCCGCTCGACCAGGACCAAGGAGCAAGAGACCTGCAACAGACTGTGGATATCTTGCAGTATACTGCAGAGCAACAATGGCGCCGAGCGAATGTCCAGCGATAACGGCTTTGGACGGGGCTACAGTTTCCGACTTTGTCAGATGTGTGATAAGATCGTCCAAGTCGGAAACAAGCCCTTCAACTGAAAGTGCTTTCGTGACACCTGCTAGTGGCGTCTTCCCGAAACCAGGAAAGTCGACAAGAACAATGTTGTAGGCTTGGGGTAGGGAAGGTACGAGGGGCGAGAATGTTTCGGTAGAGCCTCCGAGCCCATGGAGACATACTAGAAGCGGACCAGAACCATCACCACCTTGCAGGTAATGTGTGTTTGTACCGGAGGTCGTCTTGTAGTGCGAGGAAGTGAGACTGCGAGCAATCATCGTGAGAGCGAGGGATTTCAGTCTTTAATCGTGAACAACGAAATCTTTACTCCTGTGACGAACGCGGCGTGTATATGGGCGTATGCATGGTATCTGCATGCGGTATAGCCAACCTCGTGAGGGTGCGGCTATTTCCGAAAGTGGTGGAGATGGATACTCGGCCGAGGTCCCGAGCCTGGCTGATAGGAGCCCGAGGTGGTATCAATGCATCCACACCAAGATGCACAGCTCGGAATGTCGCCATACAAGCATTCTCGGGGTTGGTTAGTCAGGCGTTTGTACTCGAGCTAGACTTCATAGGTCATATACTCAACGATGATCTCGAGATTATTGCCGTGTCTCTCTACATACGTATCGTAGAGCCTTGTCAACCCCATCTTCTGCCCAACTAGTCAACACCATGGTCGTTACAGCAGTCATAACCGAAGAGACCAACTGTCTGCGTCTCAAAGCAGAGAAGCCCATTCTCGATCTCCCACATGCCGATACGACTACCGGACGCGTCGTGCCCATCAAGCACGCGGAAGGTAGCCAGGTAGACTTTGGCGCCGAGATCTACGGCATCGATTTGAACAATTTCACGGATGCAGACTTTGAGTTCGTTTCCGATGCGTTACACAAGTGGAAACTGTTGGTGTTCAAGGAGCAGCCGCAGATGCTGAAGCCGCAGCAGCAGTATCTTCTCACTGCGAAGTAGGTCATCAGACTCCGCCATACTCGCCTGATCTGACTTAATACCAGCTTCGACCGCGAAGAAACAACCGGTGGCTTCGCTCACGGTCACGACCCTTTTCTCACCCACCACAACGGCGTCGACTTCTACGGCATTCCTAAGCGTCCAGCAATCCCGGTGCAGCCACAAGTCCATATCCTTGGACGCGGGCCTGTCCCAGAAGGGCACTTTGGCTTCCCACCGGGCTTCGAAGTCCAAGGTATTGACCACGAAGAGTTCCATCTTCCACCGCACATTCCAGCGGAAGAGCGCGAGGCCGGCGCCTCGCGGTTCTACCAATGGCATTTCGACGGATCTTTGTATGACATTCCTCCTCCGCGTGTGGGCTGTCTCTTGGCTGTTCGAACTCCCAAGGGTCCAGATGTGACTGTGCGATGGGAGGATGAGGCCGGAACGCAGATGAAGATGGCGCCGGGAGCTACGGCGATGGTCGCTGGCAGCCGTGCGCTGGCGCTACTCGATGAGGAGACACGGAACATCGTCCTGAACAGCAAGATAGAGTATGCGCCGCACGCCTTCGTCTGGATGTCCAAAGCGCACAGTACCCGGCTCGGCCATTCCCTCGAAACCGAAGGACTAGAGAAGTCGCTGGACGAGCTGCCGAAATGGGAGAAGAGTAAAGTCTGTGTGTACCCGATGGTATGGACGAATCCGAAGACTGGTGAGAAGTCGCTGCAAGTGCATGGTCAAGGCGCATTGAAGCTGCATCTCAAGAGCAGCCCGGGTGGGCCAGAGACGGTTGTTGAGGACTTGAGAGAGGTCAGGGCGTTCCTTGATAAGTAAGTATCGCATTCTCATTCTTCGTTCGGAAGCTGACTGTGAGCAGACTCATGCGACCGGCATTGCAGCCCGAGAACATATATGCGCACCCGCATCAGGAGCAGGATGTCATCTTGTGGTACAACCGCGCGCTATGGCACAGCATCGTAAGTTTTTCCTCTCATGATGAGGCGGAAATGCAACATTGGCTAATGCTGTCGTCCGTCTAGACTGAGTTTCCAAAGTCGTATGGGCCGCGTGTGATGCATCAGTGCAACATTGCGGCGAGCGATCATCCTTCGGGGTGAGGGGGCCATAGCACGTGTATGTAGATCCCAGACGAAGCTAGTGCTCGTATGAGAGCTGTATGACGAGGTAGCTGCAATAAAGTATCAAACAAAACGCGCAAGAGTTGTCGATGTCGGTTGTACGCCTGCCCAGGTGTGCTTGCGACAGCCCTGTATCGATGACGCGTGGCGAGTCATGTCCAATCACGTGGTCGTGCACATGCCCATCGAACCCTGGAATGAGGTTTCCCTGAATAGCATTGTTCGACACCTCATCACTGCCATTATTCTACTGCACAGCATGCGCCATTATGATTCTGCAACCATTTCCCGCAGGTTCCACCAAACCACCCCAAAACCGCTGTAGCGCGGTCTGACACCAAAGATCACGGCAACGAGCTCGACGCGTCGCAAATGTGCTCGGCTCTATCTGACATGACGCGAACACCACATGCAATAATCGCGAGAGCAGCTGACTGCATCTCGCATCTCGCGTTGCAGTGACTGCGGTTATCAGCCGTGCAGTGAGAGTGCGCCGCCCGGTCAGCGATTGCTATCTCACCACATCGTAGTCGGATGCGAATATGCGCTCACTGCTTTCGACTGACCTGGCTATCCAGCCACCGCGCTCACACAACTCACAGATTACGAAGTCGGCCGAGCGCAGCAGCTTCCATGAGTTGACTCTCGGCCGGGACTTGGATGCTGATAAGATAACGTCCATGGATCTTAGCGAAGGGCGCCTGCCAGGAAAACATTCCCCGCACGTTCGGTAGATTCATCGCTATAGTATCAAGCGCAGCTGAGATAGGGTCTTTGATAACGACCGAGTGCTTAGATGGGAATGCGGGGATGGCCGTTGAGTAAGAGTGGGTGGATGAACATGGTCTCGACTTTGAGCATATATGTGGCGTGGGGATTATAGATCAAGGCTGGCTGATGGTGTAGACACTTATGACATCGGGCTTTACGTTCTCACCACTCGAACTTTCGCTTCTTCTGTTCAAAACTCACCGCAAGAGACCACCGCCTAGAAGGAAGATTGCCGGTCATCATTTTCCTCGACATCGGCGAAGAATCATGGCACCAGGTATCCTGGCCCCTGAGCCCGCCTTCACGGTGAAGGAGATGGAGAAGACTGCCAAAGAGAAGCATAACTTTGGAGCGGTGATCGATGACCTCAATCTCGACAACATCAGTGGTAAGCACACTGGCGGCACGGCAATGGCAATGCGATTAGCTAACATTGTGTTGTAGACTCCGACGTCAAAGCGCTCTCAAACGCGATCTGGACACACAAGCTTGTTGTTGTTAAGGGTCAGCAGAACCTCGCGCCCATCAAGCAATGGGAGCTTGTCACACGCTTCGATCCCAAAGCACCACATGTGCATTCCCATGGCGATGTGAAGACCTTCCACAAACAGGGTGGCCTACTATCGGTAAGAGTCACCTCTAACCAAGTGGACTGCCGCGCTAACGCGAGTCCAGAGAGGACGCGATGTTGTCGGTATACCCGGTGCAGAGAATGTCCGTCTGATCGGCAAAGGCTACCAAGGATCAGACCACTACGGGCTTAAAGACGCAACGATCAAGAAAGAAGTCGCACACGCATGGCACGACAAACCGCTTCCAGAAGAAGAGTACGCGCAAGGCCACACACGCTTCCAACGCTGGCATATCGATGCACCGCTGTACGCCCGCGACCCAGCCTGGTTCACCACCCTCCGCTGCATCAAGCGACCCACATCTCCAGAAATGACCATACACTGGGACGACGGCAGTGGCATGACCATGAAGACTGAACCCGGTCTGACCGCCTTCTTCAGCAACGTCCAGACATACGACATGATGACAGAGCAAGAGAAGAAGACTGCCGACCACTCATGGGTCGAGTATGCACCCCACCCTTACCAATGGATGGGTGACTGCAAAGGCCAGTCCCACGGTCTAGGCCTAGTGAGTCAAGGCAAAGAGAAGTCAACCGAAGATCTTGGGCCCTACGACGAAAAAGATATCAAGCGCTACCCCATGGTCTGGGTGAACCCCGTGACAGGCGAGCGCGCTTTCATGGTCCACGGCATCTGCGTCCGGCGCGCATTCGTTCGGTCGAGCGAAGACGAGGAACCCACTATCATCGATGACGTTGCGGAGATAAGGGCGTGGTTGAAACCCATCCAAGAACGCGTACTCAAACCGGAATACATCATGTTGCCGAAGGTAGAGGAAGGAGATATCATCATGTGGGCCAACTACCAGATGTTTCATACTGCCGTGGACTACCCGGATCAATGGGGTGCGAGGACGATGCATCAAGCGAACATTGGGGCGAGCAGTGGGCCGGTTGGACCTGTGGCTATTCCTGGTGTTGCGTAGGTGAAGGGAGCAGTATGGAATGGTAGCATGAGATTGCGGTATGAGAATACGATGCTTTCTTAGCCGTCTATTAACAGTTCCACTCCCGAATGTAGGATGCATAAGTGAGTATCGCGTCGACTGCGGCTAACAACATCCATCATGTCGTCTCCTGGCCTATTGATCCACTCATCCTGGGGTTGCACTACACACACGTAGTTCCAAATGTGTTATCAGCGGTCTATTTCCACCATTGCCCGAGAGTCGCTTCACTAGCTTCCGTGTATTCCACATTGAACGTTCAGGATCGATCGGGTAGGTAGGCGAGGCCGGGCTGTGACACGAGCAGATTTACATGCTCGATAAAGATTTGGGCCGGTAAACGAACGAGGTCGAGTTGATCCGCTGTCGAACTATTAACATGCTGTTCATACCATAAGACAAAACCTTGAGACCTACTACGTGCGTCCTGGTCCGAATCTACGCAACGCCTACGCCTGATCAGGTGCCAGATGACGAAGATAGATGGAGGGCATCCAGTGACGAGGGTGACAAGTGCAATGATAGCTTCGTTGGAGAGTTTGAACATGCTGTTTGATTTGCCGCAAAAGATCCGATAATTTCGATGTTCTGGCAGACGGCTGAGGTACCTTGGTGATGATAGGGAGGGCGAGCTGGCAAATATGTTGCAAGAGATGCAGTAGACTGGGATGAGAATCACGAAGGTTTCAGTGACCGGAGAACCCTCTTTGACTTGTGCTGATACTACTTAAGGACAATCGCGCATAAATAGATGTGATCGAAGAGACAACGTTAAAGACTCGGCCCTCCAGATGCATATATATATGTATTGATAAATACGCGGTTTGCTGAAATCGCGTAATAGCACGCCGGCAACTGCTAGGGTAGGCGTTGAGCTGATGCTTGGCTCTGCATGAGTTGACAGGGAATGGCACTTTGTGGCACATCAGGGTTGGGGGTTGAAGGCTTACAGGCGAACATACATACTTCATCGAGCCTAGTACCCGACTCACAGGCGAACGTACATACTCCATCGAGCCTAGCACCCGACTCACCGGCGAACATACATCATCGAGTCTCAATCTCGGCCAATAGGCGAACATAGTGTCCGCAGCTCCAAAATACCTGTCACAGTACACTCACCCGGTTACAACGATCGCGACTACATCACCGTCGAGACCATGCCCAGGAAGGACAACGCGTACTCAGCCCGTATCTCCTCTCAAGTTTGGGAGGATCGAAAGCCCGAAATTCTGATCTTGTACAAGGAAAAAATGCTCTGTAAGGTGGTGGGTAGGGGTGTTCAAATCCATACACCATCGCCTCTCCGCGGGAGTCATAGAAAACCATGACAACGCAGGTCTCCGTAGACTTCTTGATCCGCGCTTGCAGCTCGATTGTATCGCCAACAGTTAGGTTATATATCCAGGTAAATCAATGCCATTGTATAGCGGCACGAGACCCGTGGAGACTGATGATTTCAAAGTTTGTGCGACATGATACTTGAGGTTCGTGGATGGGCGACACATCTCGTACGTGAGAATTTCTTTTCGCATGATTCGTTCGAAATGTGGAAGGTGTGGTTGGCTCGTCGTCTCTGAGTTGGTGGTACTGAACGGTTGTGGGGAGTCGTTGGTTTGCGCAAGTAGTAGTTTGGTACCGCCAATACCCATCCCCGCAACTTCATAGTCGAAGATAAGCAACCAAACTCCAACCTAGCGCACACATCTATGAGTCAAAGCCAAAACATATATAAACATGCCGTCCACCTCTCTTCTTTCCTCAGAATTCCCAAGAACAAAGAAAGAAAGAAAGAAAGCTAACTATTAACAATAGAAACAGAATCAAAATGGGTAAAACAGCAGAAGAGAAGAACTGGAAAGGAAGAAATACAGATATGGTAGAAGTAAGTAACAAGAGTAACAAGAAGAAGAAATTGAATACTAAATACAATGATAAACAGATACCAGAATATCTGAAGACAGGAAAGGGGAAACCAGAAGTAAGCAAGACAAGTGAAACAAAAATGCTAACTATTATATATGATAGCAGAGACGAGATAGAAGAAGAGAAAGTAGTAAAGGAGGAAGAAGAGAAGAAAGAAAGTAGAATGAAGAAAGTTGTGAAGTTAATCAAGAAGAATGTTTGTATAGGATAGATGTAGTAGGTAGAGAAGGCAAAGAAGAAGGATAGAAAGAGGGGGATGATGCACAGTTACCCCTCTCTCCCTACCCCCACCATCACTATCACATATACATACCTCTTAACTTCCCTCCGTTCCGTGACATGACCAAAAAAACAGCAAAAATAAGGTACTGGACGCTGTGGGAATTGAACAACAAACTGAACAGGCCTAGAGCCTAAATTAGACCAGCGATGTGCAAATTTGGAGGCGTAAAATCAATGTAGGCTCTAGGCCCGGGGGTGTTCAGCTTTTCCCTGGATTGGGGTGCATCCACGGCGCGGAAGCGGCCCGCTATGACATGTGAACTTCTCTCGCGACTCCACGTTAACTCTCCACCACCAAACCTCCACCATGCCGCGCCGCAGCCAGACACCCGAAGCCTCCACCGCGCAATTACCAACACAGTCGCGGCCTCATCCCGATTCCGACGCTCGTGAACCGCGCACCCACAAGAAACATCATC